GGAGTGGATTTGTGCATTACACATATAGTCCTCACTTTAGTAGTATCCCATCTGAAGGGCCACAATAGCTCAGTTACGCACTCAGAAGGTCCCAGGTTCAAACCCCAACATTTCCAAGGTAGGATTCAAACCATGGTGAGCAGTACCTTTGACAGAAAGATGAGAGACAGTATTTGTGCTTGCTACCTCAAGCACTGCTTGTAGTGGAAATGCTGGATATGTTCAATTAATAAAGAGTATAGTTTTCAACCCTGAGTTCTCACTGGAAGGTCAGATCCTGAAGCTGAGGCTCCAACACTTTGGCCATCTCATGAGAAGAGAGGACTCCCTGGAAAAGACCCTGATGTTGGGAAAGTGTGAGGGCAAGAGGAGAAGGGGATGACAGAGGATGAGATGGTTGGACAGTGTCACCGAAGCTACCAACATGAATTTGACCCAACTCTGGGAGGCAGTGGAAGACAGGAGGGCCTGGCGTACTCTGGTCCATGAGGTCACGAAGAGTCAGACACAACAACTAAACAACAATAGCTTTCACTATTCTGTTGGATCATAGTGACACTGACTGCAGTTCTTTGCACACTTTTCTAGGAATGTAGAAATGAGCACAATGGGATTTACTTCTGGGGAAACATGCATACGATTTCATGAGACTAAACCAGGAAACTTTGCTTCTTTGCCAAGCCCTTTTTTTAAGACAAGCCAATATTCAGTTTGCTCCATAAGCAGCTTGGGAATAATTATCTACCTGACAAGGTTATTGGTAAAGAATTGCTGAAATATAATTCCCATGAGAACTCTGAACATCTTGAGCTTAAACTGCCTGAAGAAATGTTATATCATGCTATTAATTTTGTCAATCTTCACAAAAATCCCATTTTCCTCCACATGATGGAGCCCTCATGTGATCCCAGGATAACATTAATTTCTAATTACTTGTAAAACTTGACATTTTATATTAAAACACCAAACACATTTATTAGTTGTGTAAATAATGAATTGGGGTTAGTGGATTAATACATTCTAATATATGACGGGAAGAAGCAATTATGTAATTTTACTATCAGTGGTGAAGAAAATTAAGCTGTAGATAGTTTGTACACCTACTGAATATTCATAAAGGTTGGTTCCACTTTCTGATAGACTGTTATAGAGATATAGATACTATTGGTGACACAAATTTCCAGTACTCAGAAAATGGATAATAGTGTCGGATCAGAATTGGGCTGAAGTACATAGCCTGGCATGACCTTGCTCATTAGCCAGGACAGCTAAATAGCGCTTCTATTCAGTCAAGAGACAATAGTTGTAAACCACAGGTATGGACTGGTGTGTTTACAACCTTTAATCTTCTGCATTTCTATTCAGATGTAACCCCCATCGGATTAAGCAGGACTTACTCTCAAGTGAAGCTAAAATGGCTTCATGAAAAATTACTATTTGCACATGGCAGCTCCTGGAATTTCCCAGTGAGCATGGACTTTCTGGCTCAGGGATTCTAGAAATTAGTGGATCCAAAAAGTAACTTTTCTAAGATGAGGATCACAATCTTGTAGACATTTCAGTTGGAAACAGAATGCTGAGCTAAATTCAGCACGTCAGTTCTGGTGTGCCTTTGACCAACTGTCCCATAGGCAGTGCTGCCTTAATACCAGGAAAAACCATCTGCTTCCCACCATGTATTTTGGATTACAATTTCCTTAATCCCTGTTGGACCACGAACAGTGCTGGCTGTGCTTATGGGAACTGTAGTCCAATGCATTCAGAGGGTAATGGCTCAGTAGCCACTTATTTAACACAACACTGAGCACTCTTCCCATACTTGGATGAAAAAAATCCTATACAAGGAAGTGCTAATCCTTTAAAGAAGTAATACATTAAAAATGTAAAAAAAATAAAATAAATATTAAATAGTCTTGGCCATCACATTGCTGAACATGAGAGACATTATGATTATCTCTGACATTTAAGCATGCACATCCTGGGGTTTGTACACACTTCAAATGCAGTGGGTTAGCACTGCTAGATAGGGGTAAACTGTATTTGCCCATGCTCATATATTTGTTGTCTGAAAAAAGGGGGAAAGCAGTACAGATCCCTCAAGCAGAAGTGCTTCTTTCAGAAGGACGATGGTGACCCTACACAATGAATTAGCAAGAACTTCACATTTTTGTTTGGAAAACTCATGTTTGTAAATTTAAGACGAAAAGGTACAATTGTATTCAGTCCCATCAACATTTCATTTGCACTAATTTATCAAGAGTCAATATGGTGTAGTGGAGAGAGTGATAGTTAAGACCTGGGTTCAAGTCTCTGCTCTGCCATGGAATGATGGTGATGGTGACAATGGTAAGCCACCCCTTCAGCAGCTCACCTGCCTTGAAACCCTCTTAGGGTCATCAATTGGATGGTGACCCTAATAGGATGGCGACTTGACAAATAGATTAGGCTGCACCTAGACATAACGAATTCTGGGGGTAACAATTCCAAATTATGGCAAAAGTTCCAAAACTCTTCATCTTAGGTAGGAAGGCTGAAGTGGGGGAAGAGAAAGGGCGGGGAGGGGAAAATCTTAAGTTATGAAGCTATGGAAGAAGAGAGAAGTATGAACCCATCAGATTCTTCTGTGAATAATGTGCCCTTGGAGGGTTCTTTCCGGAAGTGGTTAGTTTTAATCTCTCACAATACAGTAATTGTTGCCTATTTGCCCATCTCTTCATAGCAATAATGTACCATATGCCAAACCTTGGCATTTTTATCCATTCTTCACACATAATACTCCATACACTGTCTCCAAAGGCATGTGAAAACAGTGATGCCAGAAGTGCTTCTTGAGAGCCAACCTGTAATAAAGCATGACATTTGGTGGAATGGGATGAATTCAAAAGCAAAGCGTGGCTTGAACCTAAAATACAACTGAAATCTCTGTCCATTGATACAGAGTTAATCTGTAAGTAAGGCATGCTGAGCACTGTTGGACGGACTTCTGAAGCTGACAACTGCTACTGAGCAGGTGAAGAGAGTTGGTTGCTGCTAATGACTTTGACCTGATGTTCTCCGCACTGCCTCCGTCTCTCCTCCCTCCCTTCGAATCCGTCGGAGGCTAAAAACCAAGTGCGGGCATTTACTGTATTTACTTGAAACCATCATTGACAAATTTCCCGATTTAAAGTCTTCACTTAATCAGTTCAATACATAACTAAGAGAAGTCATAATTGCTTCCATAACCACTGCTTGGAATATATTAAGCATTAAGCATATTAAACAAGAATTAAAACAAAGATGCAGAATAATTACCGTATGCCTGTTTTTATTTGCTCACTAACACTGGCACCACACCATGCACCAGGCTGTCTAGGCAGTTTACAATCACACATTTAAAGCCATAAACAAGGAACAAAATGTAAACATGCGCAACTATCCCGAAAAGCCAAGCTCTGTGTGTGTGTGTGTGTGTGTTGTGTGTGTGTGTGTTTCACTGAACCACGTCCCACAGAGAGCAAGAATAAGGTAAGTCACACTTGCCTCCCTCACCACACCATGCACCAGGCTGTCTAGGCAGTTTACAATCACACATTTAAAGCCATAAACAAGGAACAAAATGTAAACATGCGCAACTATCCCGAAAAGCCAAGCTCTGTGTGTGTGTGTGTGTGTGTTGTGTGTGTGTGTGTTTCACTGAACCACGTCCCACAGAGAGCAAGAATAAGGTAAGTCACACTTGCCTCCCTCGGCCACGCCCCAGCGAGACCG